AGAGGTAACCAGGGTTGAGAGCTCAAACTGTGTTTCCCACACTTTCTGTGTACATACAAACACACGCTAGTCACTGTGGTGATGGTTGGGGGCGGGGGACGCAAGCCGATTTCCATGGTGTAAATGCTCCCACCATGGCCCATTTCAAGGTTCCAGCGTGAAGTCACTGAACCGGGCGGTGGGAAGAGGTAGGTACTAGCAGCTATTCCGTAGCATTTCTACTGTGCAAATACAGTAGATGCCCATTTCCCTCAAGAGCACCGATGATAGTAAAATAGAAGATAATTAGGAAGTGGTAAGCGTTGAGTATTTATTACCTCCAAAGTATCATTTCTTGAATTGTAAGTTTATATAATTAAATTTTTAATAACAGCTGTTTAACAACTGGTTCATGAAATTCTGGAAGATTTCAGAGTCTGCGCTTATTAGCCAGTGCCAGCCAGCTTCAGCACACCACTCATTTCCTTTTTCCTAAAATATCAACATTAGATCATTTTTTTTCTTTAATTCACTTTTTCCTTAAAAGGCTCTTCAGCCAACCATTCATTCGTTCAGCCAGGATTCTGTCCCATGCCATGTGCTGTATGGAGGATCTGGGGCCAGGCCACCATCATGAACGGGTGCTTTGTCTTCACTAGCTTATGGTCCAATGAGGGAGACAGTCGATGGCCAAGCTGACAAATGAACACCATCAATGTCAAAACTGCACTGTGCAATTAGGTCTCTAAAAGGAAGTGACAGGTGATGTCATAGAGATAATGCTGTGGGGGGCCGGCATGCGGAGGTCAGGAAGTGGCAGGGGAGAGCCTACTTTAGGTTCAGGTCAGGAAAAGCTTCTTCGGAGGAGGAGGTGACAGAAACTGAGACCCAAAACATAAGAAGAGACCAGTCATGCAAAAGTCATTGGGGAGAAAGGTACAAAAGGATATGTTCACTGGGGATATGTTCACTGGGGATATGTTCACTGGGGTATCTGGGAATTGTACAAACCTGCAAAACCATTCTGTACATTGTTTCTAGAAAACTCCTTGTGTAGTAAAAATGGGAAGGCTCCCCACCAGCTTCACGATGGTGGTTAACCTTGGAAAGAGAGGGTGAAGTTGGAGGCAGAGATGGTCTTCAACTATGTCGAGGTGTTTTCTTGAAGCGAGCGAGGTGGGGGACGGATACGGCTGGAGGTCATTTTTGTTGGCGGCCACATTATTCTTTATAATTTCTGGATGCATGAAAAATTTCGTGATTGTTAATTTTTTAAGAGTGGGGCAAAGAGGTCGTAGGCAGTGAACCATCCAGTGTGAAGCCTCACTGTCAGGTGCTGTGGCCGCAGCACGTGAAGGGGCAGAGGGAGGCCCACGTCGGGGAGGTCCGCAAGCACGGACCTTGGAGGCTGTGACCACGGGTGCAGATTTTATTGTAAGTGCTGCAGGTGATCCTGGGTGAGTGACGTGAGGTGCTTTACATCCATAAAGATGACAGTCGCTGCTGGAAGAAGAACATGGAGAGTGCAGAGCACCATCAGGGGAGGGAGTTAGAGTCTCCTGTAGTTGTCTGGAAGAGAGCTAATGGCTCAGACCAACATGGAAGCAGGACGTGGTGGAACCAGAGGGGCAGTTTTGACATCTGATGGCAGGACTTGCTGAGAGATTGGATGGGACGGGGGGGCGTTGAGAGAGCAAGGGATGAAGGGTAACTTTCTTTGTTTTTGTTTTTAACAGCTTTTTCAAGATATAATTTAAGTACCATACAGTTCACCGATATTAAGTGTGCCATTCTTTGGTTTTTGGTAGTACGAATGGCTTTCTTTTTGAAACCTGAGTAGATAGTGGTTTCAGATACTGTGATGAGGACAGTAGGAGAGGAACAGGCGTGGGGGTGGGACCTGGGGGGGTTACATTGGGGGAGGTAAGTTTGAGGTGCCCGTGAGACAGCCAGGAAGGGAAGTCACATGGGAAGTCAGATAGTCTCAGCTGGGGCTTGAGGTGAAGATTGTGAGTAATGAACAAGTTGAGAGTCTGGAGGTAGATGTGAATATCCAGAGAAAGAGTATGGGTAAAGAAGGTGTGTGTGGAGGGGGCAAAGGGGTTTCTAGTCCAGATGCGTCGAGAGTTCATGCTTTGACCAATCCCCACCCTTTTTTCCCCCAAACATTACAGTGAGAATCAAAAAAAAAGCCCCCGCCCCAAGACCAAATCACTAAAACTAATGAAGACAATGTTAAAAAGACAGCCTCTGAATATCAACGACTAGTGAATTCACTCTAAAATGAAAATTGTATTCTGAAAATGAATTTAAAATAACTGTTTGGGATCCATATCAGGAATAGGTTTGACTGTGAGTAACTGAGATTCTAAATAACAGTGGCTCAAGCTAAATGGGAGTTAAATTTTCTTTTATGAATACACTCTAGGCCTGGTGTTGTGGCTCTGTCCCACTAAGCTCTCAGGGAACCAAGCTCGACCCCAGCTCATCACTATCTCAGTGCTTGGATTATCCTCATAGTTTAAGTTGGTTGCTAGAACTCCAGCCATTACATCTGCTTTCCAGGCAGTAGCATGGTGGAAAGGCATCTATCAGCTGTCTTTTGAAGAAGTTTTCAGGAGACTGACACATGACACTTCTACCTATATCCTATTGGCCAGAACGTAGCTAACAGAGAAACCAAGAAATGTATTCTAGTTTTTTTTTAAGTTTGTTTACTTATTTATTTAGTAATCTCTACACCCAACATGGGGCTCTAACCCATGGCCCCAAAATCAAGAGTTGTATGCTCCCCTGACTGAGCCAGCCAGGCACCCCAAAATGTATTCTGTTCTTACAGGTAGCCAGGTGCCCAATTATAATCCAGGGGTTCTGTTACCATGGACAAAGGAGATAGTAGATAATGAGGGATAATTAGCAGTCTCAGCCTTAGGATCCTTGAAGAAATAAAGGAAGGACAACACGCATTAAAAAGAACAAAACAGTGGATTTTTGTTTGAATTTAAAACCTCTGCTCTTAGATATCATTAAGAGAATGAATAAACAAGCCTTAGATTAGGAGAAAGCATTCGTAAATCATATGTCTGATGATGGACTGGATCCAAAATAATATTTTTAAAAAACTCTCAAAACTCAATAATAAGGAAAAAACAACCAATTTTAAAAATGAGCAAAGATTCAAATAGACTCTTCGCCAGAGAAGATATGCAGCTGAGAAGTAACTGCACGAAAAGATGCTCAACATCATTAGTCATCAGAGAAATAAAATTAAAGCCACAATGAGATACTGCTTCATGCCTATTAGAATGGCTAAATGAAAAAGACTGTTCACACCAAGTATTGGCGAGGATGTGGACCAGCTGGTGGGTCCATACGCTGTTGTATGGGAATGTAAAATGTTGCAACCGCTTTGGAAGAACAGTCTAGCAGTTTCTTAAAAGTTACACATATACTTACCATGTGACCCAGCCATTCCACTGCGAGGTATTTGCCCACAGGAGATGTGTGTGTCTACAGAAAGACTTATAACTGGATTGTCTTAGCAGATTTACTTGTACTAGCTAAAAACTAGACAGAACCCAAATATCCATTAAGAAGTAGATAAAAAAGCAAATTGTGGCACATCCAAACAATAGAATACTGCTTCCCACTACAAAGGAATGAAGTCTGATACACACATCAATAGGGACAAATCTCAAGATAATTGTGTTGAGAGCATGGCTTCTATTTGATATCATTTATATAAAATCCTAGAAAATGCAAAGCAATTTATGGTGACAAGGAGAAGCTCTCTGGTTGCCTGTGGACTGGGGATGGGAGGGATGGAGAGAGGCAGGAGGGGGCGATTCTGGGGCACAAGGAATGGATGTGTTTGTTTTCTTGATTGTGGCGATGGGTGTGAACAGTTGTCAAAGTTTATCAAATGGTACATTATATGTCAGTTATAGTTCAGTAATGCTGTTGGGAAAGGGAAACAGAAGGAACGTGACTTTGTGAAACAGAGAGGTGGGATGAAGAAATGAGGGATATGAAGACTTTGGGAATGAAAAATATTCATTGCATTAAAATTGCTTATTTAAAAAGAAAGGAAGAACGTTAATACGTGGATAGATTTTCGAGTGGACACGGTCAAAGAGAGAATTAGTGAACCGGAAGAGAGTTCTGAGGAATATTCTCAGAGCACTGCCCAGAAAAAGAGAGAGAGAAAAATAGAAAAAGGTAGTTAAAAGACATGGGGGATAGTCCCAAATATGTTTAATAGAAATTCTACCCGAAGACACTGGAGAAAATGACTGAGAAGCTGTACTCAAAAACTTAAGAGTTTCTCAGAATTTTCCAGAATGGAAGAAGAGATATGTCTTCACCAAGGAATATGCTCATCGAGTAATGAGACTTTTAAGGAAGTAAATACTCCACTTCAAAACCACAGAGGGAAATTCCATTAAATCAAAAATGAAGGGAAAGTCTTAAATATTACCCTCGACAGCCTATCCACAAAAGAGTAACAGTAGCTTCCTGAACAGCCTGTGGCAGGCTTTTGGGCAATCTTCCAGGGGCTGAAAGAAAATTAAACAGTCTGCCTCAAACTCCATACCCAGCTGAACCCTGATTCAAGAGTGATGAGGAAATCAGGACATTTTACAGAAATGAAGGGCCCGGCCCAGCCCTGCAGCGTTTGACCAGTTCAAGGTTGGGGAGAGGAGGAAGCCCCTCTCACATGTGCTTGGTCATCCAGTGATGGCCTCTGTTTCTCACAGAAGCTAGAGGGAGAGAAGAAGGGCTGGATCTAACTTCCAGCATTGCAGTGCGGGGCTCCTGGAAGTGCTGCTCATCCACCATGTTCCCAGTCTTCTGTCAGGACAGGAGAAGGAGATGGGATTCCAGGCCCCAGCTCGGTTTTCAGTCCTGCATCATAGCAGCAGGGCAAGCGGAAGGGAGGGAGGCCCTGGCTTGGGGAGGAGCCCAGGGACACGAGAGCCTCTCGAGGGTGGAGCCTTCTAGACTCTCTCTCTGTCTTCCAGATTGTGGACAAGAATAACCGCTACAAGTCCATAGATGGGTCAGACGAGACTAAAGCCAACTGGATGAGGTGAGTCCTGCTTTCTGCTGATTTCCCGGGAGCCTTGCCCAAACTCCGGAAAGGAAGCCAAGGGAGTGTGCTGGGGCCTATGAGGTCTCCAGTGGTGGAGGCCCCTGAAGGCCCCGGGACTGCTGTTTGCAGGGTTTGGGATGTGTGGAGCTCTGGGGGACCCTCTTGCTTCCCCAGCCTTCCATCGGGGGGCTCTGGAGGAGGCCTGTGGGTTACAGAGGGACCCCTAATGTCTGCACATTTGTCTCTGTGTCTGGAGTGCCCAGGGCCCCCAGCTCTGGGCAGCATTGCCGCCACGGAGGGGGTGTCCCTCCACCTGGGACTCCGACCCCTCTCACAAGGCTGGCTCCTGCCGGAAGGGTGCAGGACTCATCCCAGTGCAGCTGCCAGCACTTGTTGAAGTGGCCCCATCGAAAAGGAGGCTTCTGGCACAGTCTCTAATGGTACTTGCTGCCCGGGCATGAGTACTTTTAAGAGTGGTTTTACTGTCGTGCCGTGTTTGGGACAGAAGTTTGCACCAGGAGGATCCTTCCTGGCCAGCCAGAGAGAGCAGGAGACTGGCCCAGGGCTGCCCAGGGGTGGCTGGACTGAGCCTGGAACTGAGGACTCAGCCCACAGCTCTCCTGTTGGGTCTGTGCTGCTGGCCCGGGCAGGGGTGCCAGGGCCCTGCCCAGAGGGGTCTGTGCGCTGTGTGGGAGGTCAGACTTGCACTGGCACCTTCTTGGTGCCCCTCTCTGGGCCCCAGAAGGGGTGACGGGGTGTGGATCCAGGCTGGGAGGGATAGGAGGGCCTCGGATGGGGCCCTCTGTGGGCGTTTGTGCGGTTCTGTGACCTGTGGCGGTGGGGGGATGCTGGAGAGGTTGTGCTCGGAGGGAGGGCAGTCAGGAACTTTCTAAGAGGGCGTTTGCTGTAATTCAACTCTGCCACCTTCCAAGCAAATGAGGAGAAGTTGGTTGGAGGTGGGGAGGCTATGGTGCAGTCTGCTGTCCCCTTCCCCGGAGCCTTCCTGCCCACCTGTGCTCCCCACCTGAGAGCTGCGGATGGGGGGCTGGGAGGGCGAGAGGGGCTGCGGCTTACACTCTCCAGAGCACACTGGGATTTGTCCTCTTATTTGTCGGGGCGGCTCTTCTCACTGCCACTTAACAGGGGCAGAAGCAGAGGTGCCCAGGGACAGGTGGACCCCTCCCTCCAGCCCCCTTTCACATCATCTGGTGCGCTGGTGCCCTGCAGGGGGCTCCGAGAAGGCCACAGACACACTCCTAACCACCTTCTCCCCGACCACCCGGTGCCAGTCAGCTCGGCCCTTGTAAGTCCCCACCCACTTGCAGAACCAACCGTGTAACGGGGTGCCCTCGATGGACTGGCCCTCCCGGTCCTCCCAGGACTCCCACCTCCCACCGTGGAAGTTGTTTTTTTCCTACTGCCGTTGTCGAATGAAGGCACAGATAATGTGCTGCAAGGGCCCAGATGACAGAGCAGGGAGTCTTTGAGCTGGGCCCTCCCAGGGGCCAGGATTGCATTTGAGGGCACTGTGACCAGGGACACAGAAATGGGGACCAGACCACCAGCCTGGGCTTCTGTTCCCTGTGGCTCCCGTCTGGCTCTAGGCAAGCAAAGGACCGTGTGTCTGAGTGCAGTCTGGCTTCAGGGCCTTTCTGCACCGTTGCTTCCGAGGCTCCAGAAGCTTTGCAGGCCAAGCGGATTCTGTGCCTCGATGCCACCCATCTCTGATCTTTCACCCTGGGGACAAGGCTTTACCACAACCCTCGGGAAAGACATCATCTGAGCTAACTTAGCGATCATCCGACACCCCAGGGATTCTGACTGCATCGGGCCGAGGATGAGCCCACGGTATTGGTATTTCTAAAGCTCTCCATAGCGAGTCTGACGTGCTGCTCTTGAGAACCCCTCCTCTGTTCTGCCCTTCCTGCTACAGCGGTAACACTGAGGTCCAGAACAGGGCAAGATCTTATGCAAGATCATGCCGTCAGGGGCGGAACCAGGACTTGAACCTGTCTCTGGACTTCTGGGCCCGTGTTCTTTCTGCTTGTGTACAAGGGCCCAGGCAAAAGCATGGCCTCCTGGGCTGTGGGTGGGGTGGGTTCTGCTTCTGCTGCCTTGCTGGCCTGGGGTCTGTCCCCAGCCCGTCCTGTCCTGTCTGCCAGCCCCATTCTGTTGCAAGATGGCCCCAGGGCAGTCACAGCTGCTGGGGCCCCTCTCATTGAACACTCAAGGAGTAGGTGGGGGTTGGGGGTGTGGTTTGTTGCCACGGAGCTGTCCCTCTGGTGGTAGTTGGAGGGGAAAGCCAGTTCTTGCTGGGAACCTGCCTTCCCCCTTAATGTATAGCTTCCTTTTGCGATAGCTCATTCCTGTGTGCAGACATCTTCTCTTGTACTGTGACAACTTAGGGTCTTGTGCGGGATTGGATGGAGTTGGTGAGTTTTTTCAAAAAATTAAGTGGTGGGCCGGGAAGAGAACGGGCATCAACGTAATGAGTGTTGACTTTACGGCATCCCTATGCTGGGGGCTCTGCATTCATGAGATCGGTGGTCTGAAACCAGGGGCTGTTTTGCCACCCACCGTGTTGGGTGGTCACAGGTCTGCGAGTAAATGCCAAGGATGCTGAGAAACGTCCTACATGGCCCGGGACGCCCCTTCCCACTCACAAAGAAGTTTCCAGCCCCAAATGCCAATAGTGGTGAGACTGAAAAACCCCTCAGGAATTCCTCCTGGCAGCCCTGGGAAGTGGCTCTAGAATTAGCACCCTCATTTTATAGAGGGGGAGGCGGGTTTGCGCAGGAGACTCGGCGTCTAGCTCCAGGTCACTCTGAGCGCGGGGCCTGGGCCCCTGGCACTGTCTTGGCTTGGTAACAAAGCCCCAGCCTTCCTTTACCCTGAGCCATGGTGTTCTGGGTAGGTGGGGTGGGGGGGTGAGGGCTGAAGGATCTTTGTGCCCCCTAGCCTCTCGCCGCGGTTGGGGGGAGCAGCCGGAGGAGTGACTCGGGCTCCGGGTTTCTCCTCCGCGCTTTGGGTTCCTCTCTTGGGTGGTTCTTGCTCAAGGTCTCAGTCAGTCAGGCAGCCCCTGGCTACTCTGCAGATGGAAGCCAAGGTCAGTCCTGGCCTCCGTCAGAGCGGAACTTGTCTCCCTGTGGGCGCTCACGGACTGCTCCCGTTCTACCCCTGAGCGGCCTAAAGGCCACAGCGGCCCACCCCAGAAGAGCTGCTGCTAGCCAGGACTGTAGTCGGAGGGGAGCCTCCACACACCCAGAGGTGGGGGCCTGGGGGGCACTTGGGAGCCAGGGAGGGAGACGAAGAGAGCCACAGGACAGAGTGAGCTTTCTGTGACCACACCCTAATCACGGGCGTCACCAGCGAGGCCACACACCGGGAAGCCCGCTGTAAATAGTCGCCCTGTTTAAATAGTCTTCCTGTGAGCCATCTGTAGAGGCAATGGCCTGCTCCTCACCCCAGTAAGGACCCTTTGTTCCTGTGGAGGGCTTTAAAGCTCTCGGACATCACTCTGCTTTCCCCTCCCTCGTAACGACCCCGAGGTCCGTGTGCTTGTTACTCCTGATCCGGCCGGGGAGAGGGTTCTGGAAAAGGCTGAGTGCACAGCCCGGGCTCTCCCAGCTAGCCAGGGCTAAGGCAGGGCCCGCCACCGAAGGCGTCTGGCTCGGGCCGCGCTCCCACTCACTGCGCCGCACCTCTCCTGCCCTCCAGCCCTCCGAGGAGTAGGGGAAGGGGCCTCTCGCTAGAAGGAGGGTGTGGTGGTGGTGAGCGGGCGAGGGTGCCCAGGTGCCTCCTGGCTCCCCAGCTGGGGGCCGGCAATTAGGAAGGAGGAGGACCACCCGCCCTGACGGTCATTTACCCAATTGTGCTTTGTGGGATATTCAACCCAAGGAATGTGGCGCCCCTGGCCGAGCGCAAGAGGAAACCCAAGTTCTCCAAGGAGGAACTGGACATTCTGGTCACGGAGGTGACCCACCACGAAGCGGTTCTCTTTGGGAGGGAGACCATGCGGCTGTCCCATGCCGACAGGGACAAGATTTGGGAAGGCATAGCTCGGAAAATCACCTCCATCAGCCAGGTTCCCCGCTCCGTCAAGGACATTAAGCACAGATGGGATGACATGAAACGGAGGACCAAGGACAAGCTGGCCTTCATGCAGCAGTCCCTGTCAGGCCCCGGGGCTGGGGGCCGGGCCCCCACCATCGTGCTCACTGCCCACGAGAGGGCCATCGAGTCAACCCTGCTCACAGCCCGTTCCGGGCACAGCTTCCCCAGGGCAGAACTGGATGGCACCGACAGCCCCTCGACCAGCTGTGAGTACTGCCGGCCTCCCCTCCCCGGACCCCCGCTGCCTGCTCCCCGGCCTCCTCCTCCTTCTCGGCCATTCCCTCCTTCCCTCGCTTTCTCCTCTCTTCGGTCCTTCTCTGTCTCATCCAGTCTTCCCATGCACCCTTCTCTCGCTCTGTTTTCTCCGCCCCTTTCCGTTCATTCATTCTAGAATACTTCCTGAACTCTGTGCCAGGAGCTGTGCTGGGACCTGGGAAGACAGAGTTGTATATATAAAACCTACACCGGCCCTGCTCTTGGGTCGTCCCTAGACTCGTGGGAATACATGAGCTTTAAGTCGTTGTGTGAGGACAGTCGTAAGGAAGGGCTGAAGGGTGGACGCAGGAGGTCCTGAGAGCGGCGCTGACTTCCTGGGCGCACGACCGCGGCCACCCGCGCAGTGGCCCTCGGGCTCCGCGCGCACAAGGCACCGTGCCGGCTTTAACGCGTTGCTCTTCCCTTCCTGCAGTTCCTAATAGCCTTTGAACAAGGGGTCCTGCATTCAAATTTTGCATTTGGCCCTGCCAGTTCCGTAGCAGCCCCGTCTGAGGGCCAGGGGCCGAGGATCTGGCTCTCCCCCCGCCGGGCGGGGGGGTGGCGGGGAGTGGAACTAAGAGGCGCAGGGTGAGTAAGAGTTAACCGGGCCTCAGCGTGGGGCGCGGGGA